CATCATCCTATTCTGATTTGATTGGTAGTAAATTAAATTATTTTTTCCCAAGTTGAGTCTGTTTTGCTTGTGATGGTAATTAATAAATGATCTCCCCCTGTCCTTAACTCATGAACCTTTCTTTGTCTTTCTCCACCTGTCCAGCTGAGGAGGGGGTGATAGAGCAGCTTGGTGAGCACCTGGCATCCAGCCAAGGTCAACCCACTAAACTATGATAATGTTTTTTACCTCTCTTAGATGTTCCTGACAATGTTACTTATCAATACAATTGAAGTATTGAATTATATATTAACATCCATATAGCCATCTTTAAAAATGCTGATATCACTTTTTGTGGGCAAGGTAAGTAGACCTATTTTAATCCTATAACCCTGTAATTGGTTTTGGTGAAATGCCAATTCTTAATGCAGTTCTTGGTTTTATTTACAGTACTGAAATGGCTCAGGAGACAAACCAGACCCCAGGGCCCATGCTGTGTAGTACAGGATGTGGATTTTATGGAAATCCTAGAACAAATGGCATGTGTTCTGTTTGCTACAAAGAACATCTTCAGCGACAGCAGAATAGTGGTAGAATCAGCCCAATGGGTAAAGGTTTGAGATGTGTTTTGTGTGTGTGTTGAATATGTAATGTATAGGTAATGAGAGGAATCGCAGAATGTATTTTAGGAGATCTTCTGATAGCTGCATACTAAATCTATGAATATCAAAGGGGATAATGCTTTAAATCACATAAATAAAAATTCTTTTTTTGTGTAACACCCCTTGGTGTTGAACCTTAATTTGCATTTCTACTTATGCTCTGCTACAATTGGGTTCTTATACAATCCCTGTTTTGGTCATTAGCAGTATAGTCTGTCTTTAAGAAGATGCAGTAGAATGACAGATGATTGGAAATGGTTCATAACTGTATTCAAAACTACTTGACTAATCTTGTATTCTATACTTTGCTTATAATTAACTTCTCAAATTTCTGTTATATAGGGATAGCTAGTGGTTCAAACAGTCCTATCTCAGACTCTGCATCTGTACAGAGAGCAGATGGTAGTTTAAACAACTGTGAAGGTACTGCTAGTAGCACATCTGGAAAATCAAGGTAAGATTATAGGATCATTTAGATTGGAAAAGACCCTTAAGATCATTGAGTCCAACCATAAATCTAACACTGCCAAGTTCACCACTAAGCTATGTCAGCATAGTCTTCTAAATCCCTCCAGGGATGGTGACTCAACCACTGTCCTGAGCAGCCTATTGCAATGCTTAAACCTTTTTGGTAAAGAATTTTTTTCTAATCTACCTAATCTAAAACCTCCTCTGGCACAACTTGAGGCAGTTTCCTCTTGTCCTATTGCTTGTTACTTGGGAGGAGAGACTGACGTTCACCTCACTACAACCTCCTTTCATGTAGTTGTAGAGTACTAAGGTCCCCCCGAGCCTCCTTTTCTCCAGGCTAAACAACCTCAGTTTCCTCGGATGCTCCTCATAAGACTTGATTTCTAAATCCTTCATCTGGTGAAGGTATTATTTTGAGGTTTGAATCAACTGTGAGTATATAGCAAGTTAAAGCAACATTGCCCTATTACAGTTTCTGCAGAGGTAAAAGGGACAGTGCACCTTATAGTGCTTTATGAATCTTTATAAATAAGAACTAATTAGTATTTGGTGTTGAACTACTGCATTTACAAGGACATTTCTGGTTCATCTGGGGAAATATTTGCTACAGTTTGCCTAGTTTCTTCTAGGGAAGTGAGGTAGAAGTACAGGTCAGGAATGTGTATCAGTAATAATTGATTGGATAGTCTGACGGATTTTGACAGTTTAAGCTCTTGTGTACTCAAAACTAATGTAATCACCCATTTCACTGTATGTAAACAGAAATGTGCCTGTTGCTGCTTTGCCGGTAATGCAGCAAATGACAGAAATGAGCGTTTCAAGAGAGGAGAAAGTAACATCAAAAACAGAGATCGAGCCAGGTATGTTTGCAGAATAACACTAGGTACAACTGACCTAACAGAAGCTAGCAGTTTACTTTCTCTTTGTGGTGATTGTCTTGAGGCACTGTTAATTATGGATGCTTCTTGATTATTAATACCTTTAGAATAAAAAAGAATTGCTAGTGCCAGAATATAGTTTTCACATGCATGTTCAATTCTAGTACAAAAATTTTGACACTTGAGGAGCATTTTGGCTATCAAACCTTGATTTTTAAAAAGTAAGACATTTAAATTGTATCTGGGCACAAGATGTTCAATTTTGAAGTCAGTGTTGATTTTTTTATAAAATTTAGCAGTACAGTTTTTGCTGGCTTGTAGCAATCAAAATGATGTGTTTGAAGAACAGAGTTCTTAATAAATTCAATTCTACAGAAGGATGAGAGTGGGGCAGAAGGAAACACTTGATTAAAAATACTAGCAAAGACTTCTAAAGGTTCTTGGACTAATTGAGTAATCAGTAGATATAACCAAAATGCTGTTCTGTGGATATAGGATACTTATGGCATTAATTGCTTAGTAAGGATGTTCAATTTAAGTCTTATTCCTGTTCTCCTAGTATTTAAACTTTGAAGTGTAAAGTATTTCTTGGTGGGAGGTAGGGAGGGACTGCTTCCCTACATACTAGTGAGTGAATTCATGTTTATTATATAGCAGTTTATTCAAATGGGTACTTGTTTGATATCTATAGGTATTGATACTTGTTAATTTTAATAGTTCTGAAACAGTCTTAAAACATTAAAAGCTGACTATTAATAATAAAATCTTTTTGCTACAACTTAAGATAAAATTATTTGTTTTGTGTTGAAAACTCCAGAAGGGACTACTCAGTACTGTATAGATGAATATTTGTCAATAAGACTGCTGTTACAATTGATAGCTAATTGCTCAGTGTTTGTACACAGGTTTTTACTATTTTAATTAAGTCATGTTAAGTTAAAAATGTGACATGAAGTAAATAACAATAGCTTTTACTGCTTTCTTTTTTGGTTATGTACAGACTGAGGAGATGTTTGTTTCAGCTTCTTGTAACTTGTGTTATCTGAAGAGTCTTATTGTATGTAACTTATAAATATTGTAACAAAGTATAAATTTCTAAACCCATATTGTACTGTTATGAATTGCTACCTGAAAAAGTGACAGGCAGGAAAGAAAAACATAAAATGGTAGCAGTGGTCAAGTAGTATCTGAATTTTCTCTTATTAAAACTGCCAATAGGGATTTGTCATTTTGCCAGCTGTGAAGGGCAGTCTTCTAGTTCTGTTGAGTCAATATCGATTTCCTCATAAAGCAAGTAAATGGTAGCATCACACAGCATACTATTGATTAGGGATTTCCCCCCTCCCCCCCATTCTAAAAGCAACTCAAGATGATAATCTTGCAGCTTGAAACTGAGTTGAAACCAGTCAAAGCTCTGTTAAAGCTTGTGTAGCGATCATAGGGAAAATTGCCATGAAATTTAAATGTTTGGGGGAAAAAAGCTTCTATAGCAAAATTGTCATCTTAGTACATATCCTTAAATTCTTGAAACAATCTTCAGCTGCTCTAAAAGTTGAAGTTCATCAAGTTGGGGGAAGATTTTAGACAGCACAGAATACTGTCTTTGTACGCTGTTTTTAGATTTAAAAAAGGATTTATCATAAATTTTTAAGATACACCTAGTGTTTGCTATATTAGTACATTGATCCTGTAAGTGTTTTGCAGCCAAAAAAAGTTGGCCTCAACTTTTTATAAATCCTTACTGTGTTTGGGTGGGTTCCATTTTTTTTTTTCTTTCTCTTTTTCTGAAGCATCTAGTATATGTTGGTCTTGCTTGAGGAGGAGCTGAAACACTAGTAGAGTAGATAATTCATGTCACCGCATAAAACAAAGATAATACTTTCTATGAGATGTAATCCTCTAATATAATACCTGTCATAATGTTGCTAATGAAAATACCTTAGTTTTATCTGTAGTCTCACCCTGGCAATTGAATTTCATAACTGTATCAGATGGTAGGTCTGGAACAAACAATGCAGCCTTCAAGCAAAGTTGGTTTTTTGGGTTTTTTTTTTTCCTTAAGCATTATGAAGACTCATTTTATTCTGCAAGTCAAAGTTCTAAATAGTTAGGTCTGCACAATTGTCTTTAAGTCTGTGGACTAAAAGTATATTCTTGCTGTTTGCTTAAAATCAAGCATCTGATTCCAGAAGGTTCTGAAGTTGACAAAAATGAAGCTTAACAGGCTTGTATTTTCTTTTGTTTTTCCCAGGTTGAGGTTATAACCTGGGTTCTCATTCAGAACAAATCAAGTCTGAAGGCAATGAATCATATCTTAGCATTTGAAGGAAGAAAGGCATGACCTATGTAACTGGCCTAGTTGGTTGTAATTTAGATGTCTAACATGCTATATTTTGCTATAACTTGTAATTTCTTAGTTAAACTTTTTTGTTGTAGTTTTGTAATTGAATTGTGGCATGTGTTCAGTTGCTTATCTGATGATCTGTGTAGAAGTCAGTGAAATATAAATACCTTTATATCAAAATTCCAACTCATAATTGGGCATTAGTTATAGCATGCGTTTTATAGGCTTTTGATCTGCTTCTGTTCTACTTAATTAAGGATTTTAGTTCAGTCTTGACCAAATTCAGAATATACCTGAAGCATTCTAGAGATATTGTTCAGATTTGTGGTTTTTTTCCATGCTAACTTACAAGAATTAAATGCAAAAAACCCTTATCTGACTCCTTTCCTTGTGTTTTTGCATCAGCAATACCATTACCAAGTTGGTGAGGCTTAGTAGAGACCTTGAAGAAACCTGTTTTGTTTAAGCAGGTTTTTAAGTGGCAATAGAAGATTTATACAAGAGAGCTGACTTACATATTTGTGCTGGTTTGAAAGCAAACCAGTGAGAGACTCCGAGTCAGAAGTACAATTTAATATGAACAACACAACAAAAACAACAACAAATGCAACAGTACAAAAATAACCTGACAGAGTCAGAAAGTAACCTGACACCCTGTCAGTCAGGGTGTTAGTAGTAGTCCGATTAAAATGGTAGCTGCAGTCCTCCTGGAGCAATGGCTTTGTTGGAGCAGTGATCCCGCAGATCTGCTCCTCTCCTGAAGGTCCAGCAGCAGCTCTTGTCCTCTGGGAATCCAGCAGGCAAAGGGCTCCCTGTGCTGGTCCAAACCCCGGCTTATATCCCTGTGAGCATGTTTGGCTCCCCACCCCTGGGGTGAGTCACCTCACCATGGGACAAGGCGATAAGGATCACTGGGAGGATGTGTCATGTATGGGTCCTTGGCAGCCCATTAATCAGAGACAGCCCCTGAGGGAGCCATCAGGGACATGGTGATAAGGATCACTGCCCCACCTTCTTTAACAGCTTGTGGAGACGAAAATAGAATACATACCATTGCAACCCAGGACAATATTGATCACTAAACCCAAACTGTTGTGAAAACAAATATGTTTAAATAATCATATTGTATCAAGTCGAAGCATATTTCTAGCATTTTTGTGCTTTTGTGGGTTGCTTACTTTTCTGAATAAATATCCTGTCAGGGCTGTTAGTGTTTCCAAACTTAATTAGTCTAGCATGCAGATCAAGAACTTTATTTTTATGAACCCAGTAATAGCTTTGTTTTACAGAGCAGTGTGGTGAGTTACTGCTCTGAAGCCACAACTGTGCAATAGTGCTGCCTATGAAGAAAGTGAACTGGAACTTGAAATGCATATGGTCTTATGTAAAATAAGTGTTAAAAAATCTTCACCAAACATCATTAACTTAGTCATTCCATCTGTATGGTAGGCTACCCTTTCCATTCCTGAAAATTATAATTTAATAAAATTAATGAGATGATGGTTAGCTAATTTGTCTTTTGGCTTTGTACCAGGCCAATATGATGAGTTACTTTAATGTTCAGCACCACAGCTGTCCTACATGCAGGTTGAGACCCTGTTATGGGTTGCCCTCACTTACGTTACAGATAAAAACAGTAGCTAGGAAATATATAGTGTGTTGCAGATAATATTCTGAGTAATATGCTGAATATCTTATGAGATATTGAATGTTCAAGATGATAAATAGATTATATTGCTTGCTTCTTGTTTTAATATCTGATTCTGATTTGGTTTTGAACATGACTATAGTATTTAAATGTGCATTCTGTCTGTAGACAGTTCCATTGTGGCTGTTGATAAGGTCATCAGATATATCAACTTTGTTTTGTGTTCAAAATTATCTTCCCATTTCCTATGTCTGCTGTAACTTGAGTAGATGCCCCCAATTGAAACAATTCTGAAATGGAACTAATAATTTGTTTAAAATCTTGAAGCTGTCTATCTTGAAAAATAAGACTGAGGACCAAACTGCTGGTCCTGTACTTTTTGCCAATAGCATGCTATTGTGTCTTTTTGAGAGATGTACAACAGGCATCAAGTCTTGATGGTAACCAATCTAAACCACATTTCAGGGTTTTACTTAAACAGTGATATGTTATATTGATGTAAGAGTAAAAAAAAAAAATCAGTGTGCTTGTTGAGCATGTGAGAGATTAGTTACATGCTGCAGAATTGTTTTATCCCAGTTCTTTGGCATCGAATTGAATATACAGTTTATTTTTTAGCCTTTTATAATGGACACCTGGATCAGCATAGCAGTTGCAGATTCTGAAGAATAATTTCTTCTCAAGCTTGATAAAACAAAAAACAGTCTGTCTTATTTTCATTGACTCAAACTTTATATACAAGTCAGTTGTGTTAATGTGCAGCATAAGGTTTACATAATTTGTAGTATAGTTTTCAGCTCTGGTGCTGCAGAAGTAAAGTATGTTTTTCTGATGACTTCTGGGTACTCTTTGTCTATTACCTTTATTCCTTCTGTTCTAATTTTTCCATCTCTTCCGTGGTAGGAGTTGAGGATTGCTTTCATGTAAAAGTAGTTAGAATGCTTAAAACTTTTTTTTTTTTTAAGGCTTTCAAGCATTTCACTCTTCACT